CGTCCTCCTCCCCTCCTCCCTGCACCGCCCGCATGCGTCAGCCACACCCGATTGGGCACACCCCTCACACGTTTCGGGGCCCCATCGGGAGCTCCACCGAAGCCACCCGTTCCACCGCCCGCATGCGTTAGCCACACCCCCTTCGGCACACCCCTCACACGTTTCGTGACCCCATAGGGAGCTCCACCGAAGGCCCCAGTGCCACCGCCCGCATGCGTCAGCCACAACCACTTCGGCACACCCATCACACGTTTCGGGGCCCCATCGGGAGCTCCACCGAAGCCGCCCGTTCCACCGCCCGCATGCGTCAGCCACACCCACTTCGGCACCCCCCCTCACGTTTCGTGGCCCCATCGAGAGCTCCACCGAAGGCCCCAGTGCCACCGCCCGCATGCGTTCCACACACCCATGTCGGCACACCCCTCTCACGCTTCCTGGCCCAATCGGGAGTTCCGCTGATTCCACACCCAATCCAGCACACCCCTCACACGTTTCGTGGCCACAGAGGGAGCTCCACCGAAGGCCCCAGTGCCACCGCCCGCATGCGTCAGCCACAACCACTTCGGCACACCCATCACACGTTTCGGGGCCCCATCGGGAGCTCCACCGAAGGCCCCAGTGCTACCGCCCGCATGCGTCAGCCACACCCAATCCAGCACACCCCTCTCACGCCTCGTTGCCTCATAGGGAGCTCCACCGAAGGCCCCAGAGCCACCGCCCTCATGCGCCAGCCACACCAAATTTGGCACACCCCTCACACGTTTCGTGGCCCCATAGGGAGCTCCACCGAAGGCCCCAGTGACACCGCCCGCATGCGTCAGCCGCACCCACTTCGGCACACCCCTCACACGTTTCGGGGCCCCATGGGGAGCTCCACCGAAGCCACCCGTGCCACCGCCCGCACGCGTCAGCAACACCCAATTCGGCACACCCATCACACTCTTCGTGGCCCCATAGGGAGCTCCACCGAAGCCCCCAGTGCCACCGCCCGCATGCGTTAGCCACACCCACTTCGGCACACCCTCACACGTTCCGTGGCCCCACAGGGAGCTCCACCGAAGGCCCCAGTGCCACAGCCCACATGCGCTCGCCACACCCACTTCGGCACACCCCTCTCACGTTTCGTGGCCCCTTAGGGAGCTCCACCGAAGCCACCCGTGTCACCGCCCGCATGCGTTCCACACACCCATGTCGGCACACCCCTCATACGTTTCGTGGCCCCATCGGGAGCGCCATCGAAGAAGATATTCACAATTGCGGTTGGGCTTTTCGCCAGGGTAGTTTCGATGATTTGCTGACATGCTTGATGGTTCATCCAAAATCCGCCTGTAGTAGGACACGCCCGACATAACCCCCCGGCAGGGCGCCCGACGTCGCAGCGAAAGTTTGACACGCCTTTCGCGCGTTTCGTGCCCCACGGGGAGCTCCACCGAGGGCCCCAGGGAGGGCGCCCGCCGGGCGTCGCCCACCTGTTTCAGCATATCCCTTACGCGTGCCGTGCCGCACGGGATCTCCACTTGCGACCCCAGGGAGGGCGCCCGCATAGCGTTAAGTCGGGCATGTCCTTCTACAGGAGGAATATGAACAAACATCGACAAACATCGTCTGGGGGGATGTTTTAGACATTATGTCTGGGCTATGTTTGAGTCTTGTTGGGGCATCTCTGATTTTCATCCCAAATCCCCTTGCAGGACATGCCCGACCGAAGCATAGCGTTGCCACGCACCCCTCAAATGCTGCGTGCCTCATAGGCAGCTCCACCTGCGGTCCCAGGGAGGGCGCCTGCATAGCACCGCCACGCCTACTTCGGCACACTCATCGCACGTGTTGTGCCCCAGGGGTGCGCGCACAAATCCATCCGCAACTCCGATCGCACTGGTCGACGGCTCGTGGCTGGAGGAACGGCAATCAAGACGACCCAGGGCTTGTAGCAGCTATGATCAGGACCTTCAGAGCCGCCGAGCATCTCGTCGACACATGCTGTGATACGAATAGGGTATGCCGACCGCTATCCAGCATACAACCAACCGTGATCAAGCATACAGGGAGGCCCGTGCAACTCTACGACTAATTCGGAAGGGTAACCCACAAGCAGATGAACGAGCGCATCACCAAGTATGACGCTACGGCGGGTGACCGACCACCCTATGTGTTTTAGGTCAGCGACAGTGCCATATTAGACGCGATGTCAACCGGCAAGGATGACTATCACTTCGTAGGTGGCGAAGACAACGCTCACATGATACACATCCTGAAGTGTCTGGCTTACCTTTTGGATTACGCTATCTTGGCACGTGGGCTTGAGATGATGTCCAAACTATGGCATGGCGCTTATGAAAATCGACCGCGTGACTTTCGCGGGCCTGCTTACCATGGCCACATACTTGCCGCCCTTGCTTTTTTCGGGTCATGGCAAGATGCCGCGCGGAGTGGCCAGTGTTGCTAACGATCTTCGCTGAAGCAGTCTGGGACAGGCTGAATTCGGATTTGAAGAGGTTCATCAACGGCTGAAGGTTTGCGCGCCCACTGTACTTGCCACCGCCAGGCAGCTCATACTGGTCGAAAGGACGGGAGTGGGAGACCAAGGGGTCGCCGCCCAGCGGGGCCCTTGAGGGCTGAGTCGGCTGCAACTGTTGACATGCCACCTCCCCGTTTCCGCCTGATGGGTCACCGACAGTTCTACCGATTTGGACGCAATACCGCAGGGAGTGCCCGTTAGCGAAGATCAAGGAATTAACGCTCATGGCGAGGAAACCGTAGGGTTGGCCCCCCAAAGCAAATCTCAATTCAAGTTTCTGCACCTCCGCCCGCCAACATCGGGGGCGGTCAGGGCGTACAGGAAGCATCCCTAGCAGCCAAGGGAGCCGAGCCCAACGATAAGAACAACTGATCCTAAAAGGCCTCTGAAGGCTGCACCGAGGAACACGTTGCGGGGAAGCTCAGAGGGAACCAGCCTGGACCCGACATCACCGACAAACTATTCGAGATGATTGGCACTAGCTCTGAGGAGCCGATACCAGGCAACAGCAACAACCATATGGGGGTCTGTTAATAGGATTTCATACCGTGTGTCTTATCAATCGGAACCCACTTGGTCCCACCTAGGGACCGCTTAAGCAGATGGTTGATGTGCAAATGTTCCAAACTTGATCTATGCGACACCTGCGGGTGCTGCTGCGATTGTCTGCGGCGAACAAGAACGCTTTGATGCAAGACCGACGAGAGGTGCCACCAAGAAGACATCGCAACCACGAAAAGGGCAGTGGAGCATGTGGCAGCCAAATTTCACCGAGACACGCCCTGGAACACAAGAACGGGACATCTTACCCAGACGTGCGGATAAGGGAAAGAGGAACGGAGGATGTGGAAAATGCCGGGGATGCATGCAATAATGAGGGATGAGGACGAGACGGGGGGGTGATGAGGATGAGGGCGAGGAGGAGGAGGAGCAGGGTGAATACGAACAGAGAGGAAGAGCCACACCATCACCGTGCCTCTCGTCCTCGTCTCCCCTCCTCCTTCCTCGTCTTCTTAATCCTCGTCATCATCTTCCTCTTCCTCTGTCTTCCTCCTCCTCCTCCTCCTTGTCCTCATTTCTCCTCATCCTACTCCTCCTCATCAGGCACCCTCCTCCTCATCCCGCTCCTCCTTTGCATCCAGTCGAATCGCCAATCGGACCTCCTAGAACTCGCTTGCTCCCCAGGAGCCGCTAGTCCCCAGACGACATTCTTCCACCCTCTTGCCCGTTCTTCCTCGTCCTCCTCCTCGGCATCACCCTCTCCTAGCAGGGCGGCTCGAGCTGGAGAGCAGACAGTCGCGCCCCGCGCTTGCCTGGTCGATCGCGATGTCGGCCAATCCGGCGAGGGATGGCTTCGAGCCCATGACGGAGAACTTTCTGGGGGCCGTGGCAGCGCGTCCCAAGTGGCAGCCCTTCCCTAGATGGGGGAGGGAAGAGGGACAATGGCGGAGGGGAGCGGGCTTCATCTCATTCCTCTTCCTCTTCCTCCTCTGCTTCCTCCTCCTCCTCCTCCTCCTCCTCCTCCTCCTCCTCCTCCTCCTCCCTGTCTCACCCCGGGACTGGTTGAAAAGGCGGGCCGGGCGTTTCGCTTGAGATTTCTTTTAATTTGTTTTGTGATCCTGAAACTTCAGATTGTGTCTGATCCTGAAGCTTCAGACTTGGCAACATTTCACTGATAGAGGGCGGGTGTTTTTTCAACATGAGTCTCTCGCCTTAGCGCCGCGTGCATTTGTTTTTAAACATTTGCAATCGGTTCTCGGGTTGAGGGAGGGCCGTTTTCGAAATGTGGCTCTCGCCTGAGCGTCACGTGCATTCGTTTGAAGCAAGTGCCCGCCGCATTGCAAAGACCGAGGGGGGGTGGTTATCACAATGTGGCTCTCGCCCGAGCGGCGCGCACAGTCGCTCAACAATCGCAAGTTGCAATGACTTTGCGGATTCAGGGCGGGTGGATTTCAAAGTGTGGCTCTCGCCTGAGCGCCGCGGACATTCGTCAAAACGAGTTGCGAGAATTTTGCGGATTGAGGGCGGGTGGTTTTCAAAATGTGGTTCTCGCCTGAGCATAGCGCTCATTCGTTTTAAAGAGCAAGTTGCAAGATTTTCTCAGGTTGAGGGCGGGTGGCTTTCGAAATATGGGTCTCGCCTTAGCGCCGCGCACATTCGTTTTAACAATGTGCAAAGAGCTTCATTGATTTTGGGCGACTCCTTCCCAAAATCAGGGTTTTGCCTCAGGGACGCGCATAGCGGCTTATACATGTGCAAGAGCTTCACGGGCTCCAGTGCTTAGCGTATCAGAAGCTATGTTTTGGAACGGTTCAGGCTTGTCAGGCCGTAACGGTTATGTTGGTTCGCGGTGTTGAGGTCCGCGGAAAAGTGTTTTGGCACAGTTCAGGATCGGGAAGGCATCACAGCCAGCTTGACTCGTGGCGTTCCAGCTCCAGGAATGATGTTTTGGTACGCTTCAGGATCTTCAAACATTTGTCTCCCAACGGGACACTCCCCTCAGAGAAAACGAATCCGTGTAGGGGCCTGTGAAGAGATGACGAGGGAGCTTGAGGGAGGGTTTACTTCAACATTGTTGATCAGTTTGCACTGGTCCTCCTCCTAATCCTCCTCCTCGTCCCCGTCTTCTATCCCATCCTCCCTCCCTCGAATTCCCTCATTCCTCCATCATGCCCCCCAGGGAGAGAGAGGATGGGGGGATGATAATCAGGATTTGCGGAGTTGCGGAATGTTTGAGTATGTTGTGTTAGGTTCACGGCTAGCATTGAGGACGGGGAGGAGGAGGCGGAGGAGGAGAAGGAGGAGGATGAGGACGGGAAGGACGAGAAAGGAGGTTGGAGAGGTTGAGGAGGAGGGTGAGGGAGGAAGAGGAGGGAGGTTGAATGGTCTGGAAGAGGAGGATGGAAGAGAAGGAAGCCGTGGGGAGCGCTAGGCATGATGATACGGATGGTGGTGACGCTGATGATGCCGATCATGCTGGTCATAGTTTTTGTGTGAAGGTGCAGATCTTGAACATTATGATGACGGCGAGGACTGGTGTTTATGATGACGATGACACGATGATCAAGACGATGATTGCGATGTTAAGGATGATGCTGATAATTATCTAATGGACTTCGGCCCATTCCCCCACCGTGCCTTGGTTGTTGGTCAGAGGCCTCTTTGGGCTTTTGGGCCCTTCGGGGGCCTCTTGTGGATCTCTGGGGTTCCGGCTTGGGCGTCTTGGGGGTTTCCTGGAGCGTCTGTTTGGCTTCTTGGATGCCTTTTGGTTGTCTCGGAGGTCGTCTTGGAGCGCAGAACTCGAAACATCGGTTCGTGTTCCCTCTCGGTCTCTCGTCGGCCTCTCTTGGGTCCTCTTGGCCCGTCTTTTGGGCCTCTTGGGCCCTCTTGTGGCCCTCTTGGGCCGTACGGAGGCCCACTAGGGGGCCTCTTGGGCCGTCGTGGGGCGATCTCGGGGGCCTCTTGGGCCGTCTTGAGCGTCGAACGCCCGATAAAGGCGAGGACGCTCAAATCCTTCAAGAAGCAATGGAAAAGCAATCACTTTGGCCTCCCGGGGTCATTTTGGAAGTGCTACTACAGCCCTCTTGGAGCGTCTTGGAAACGTTTTGGGCTTGACTAGGGGCTTCTCAGGGACCCCTTGGCCCTTTTCGATGCCGTCTTGGCTCAGAACAATCACGCGAGAACTTACGGGGACATGCGACGCGCCCAGGAGGCTTTTGGGACTTTGGTGTCCGGGCCCTCTAAATCCTTGGCATGCAGGACTGGGGACGTACGAATGCAAGGGACCTGAGGACACTCTGCCTCGTGCCCCAGGGCACGTGGGCGGAGATTGATGAGAGGGAAGGCGAGGATGCGGATGAGAAGTGGTGAAGTCGAGGTGGAGAAGGAGGTAGAGGAGGCGGAGGAGGAGGAGGCGGAGGAGGAGGAGAAGGAGGAGGAGGCGGAGTAGGAGGAGGAGGAGGAAGGACCAGACGACGCGCCTGACGGAGACTCGAAGATGCGTCAGCAGTTCTAGGACGGACGGCGTCTCCGACCACCGACCCACATACGTCCCGCGACGAGACCGTGCAGCCCCGAGCTCTCCCCACGTAACCTGACCATTCACCAGCAGGTCTGGGACGCATTGGGCCGCGCCGAGCTCCAGGCGTGAGACTGGGCGACCACGACACTGGATCCAGCTCCGCCGATTGAACACGTGCCTGAACGCTCGCCTCCAGGGTGCCCAGCGTTTCTTGGGCTTCCACGGTTTTGCGATGGAGAGCGTGACGTTCCCACACCAAACATCAATCGACGTCCTGGGGTTCCAGGGTTGGGTTTCTCGTGGAAGGCTTCTTGTAGTCGAGCTCCTCCTGTGAGTGCCAGTAGTGCTGTACAGTCGTCATCTGGGTGCCTCGGCCCCGCCCTGCAGCGCCTTCTCGCGGCGTTCCGGGCAGGTCGCAGTCAGACAACACAGTGTCCAGGAGGGGAAAAACACAGAGACACACTGAATTGTAGATTCCCAGGAACATGGGGGAACATATGGGAAGTGGGAGGGAGAAGAAAAACCCACAACGTATAGGAAAATATGGGGAGTCCTGGGATTTGTGTGTGTTTATTTGTGTGCATCCCAGGGCCCCTTTAAGTGCGTCTGACTGACTTTGCCATGCGCGCGCGGGGAGGCGCGCCCGCAGGGTAATAGTTCAACCCTCCTTTTGATCAGCGCGTATGCACCGCGTCACATGTTTTGCAGGAGATGGCGCCGGACGGGGGCCGTCAGAACCTTTCCTGAATGTCATGATCACATCAGATGAGTCATCGTGCATAATGATACTAGAACCTCCCATGAGGAGGGGAACCGAACACCCCAGCCCCGGTCGGGGGGCAGGACACTCCAATTTTTTGTAGGAGATGCGTCGTGCACGCTATCAGTGGTGCAAGCTGTATGTGGTGCACGCCATGTGCATCAGTCCGAGCGGCGCAGTGTTTGTTGTGCACGCCAGGCGGCGTACCATACATGGCGCAAAGCACGCGGCGATATCTGTGTGACGCAAGGTCTGCGGTTGAAGCGGCGCGCGCTGCAAGCCAAGCTGTGCAAGCTGAGTGACGCCCGCTGTCTTGTGCACGATCTGTGGTGCGAGCTGTGCGACACACCCCGCGCACGGGGCGGCCGCGCGGCACCCACGGGCGGGCACCTGGCGAAGCCCCGCCACGCCCACCCCGCGCACGAGGCGGCCTGGGGGCGGCCACGGGGGGGCCCTCGGCGAGCCTCTCCGTCACACCCACCCCGCGCACAGGGCGCCCGCGACCGGCCGCCGGCGGCGCGCCTTGTCGAACCCCTGGCGGACCCACCCCTCGGACGGGGCGCCCACGAAGCGCCCACGACCTGCCGCACACCGGGCACCAGATGAGGCCGGGGGGGCCTTCTCCTCCTCCGCCTCCTCCTCCTCCTCCTTTAACTCCTCCTCCTCCTCCTCCTCCTCCTCCTCCTCCTCCTCCTCCTCCTCCTCCTCCTCCTCCTCCTCCTCCTCCTCCTCTCTCCTGCTCCTCCTCCTCCTCCTCCTCCTCCTCCTCCTCCTCCGCCTCCTCCTCCTCTCCTCCTCCCCCACCTGGGCGCGGGGTGCCCGCGAGGCCCGCACGACCGGCCACCAACCGACCGAAGCCCTGGCGGATTTTCCGCGCTTCTTGTAACGACATGCAAGAGCCCATAAGTACAAGCAGTGCTCGGGGAATGCAACAAAGCGCCGTCGTCACCCATCAGCCACGTTTCGAAAAGTGTCGCCCGCTTGTCCTTACCCTTCTTGGAGATCCCCATCAATAGTATCATAAAGCATGACAGACTACCCGGCGAAAGCTCTATTTTGAAACCGACCACACTCCAGCCATAAAGAGAGACACGAATTGAAGACGGACCGCCCTCCATCCGTGCCGTGGGAAGCGTTGAGGACGAACGCGTGTGGCACCGTGTCGGGAGCCACAGTTTGACATTTGGGCCGCCCTCCATACATGCAACGACTGGAGATCTGAGGCGAATGTGCGCGGCGCTGAGACGGTAGCCACTTGCAGACGGGACCCGTCCTCCATCCGTGTAGGTGTTGGAAGCTGCAGGCTGCAGGGTAAGACCTTCTGAGAACGTCTCCGGCGGAGCGCCCAGGCCGCCCCACCGACGCGTCTGGTGGCGCGACGAGGAGGAGCCACGAAGAAGGAAGGGTGGAGGAGAGGGAGGGGAATGCGGAGGCGGAGCCAGGGGGGTGCTTCTATCGCTCCCGCCGCGGCGCGGGGCGCTCGCTCCGCTCGGAAGGGTGCCTCTGCCTCGGCGTCGGTCGCACCTCCGCCTCTGCACTGCCACCTCTGCATGGTGCTCTCGCCCTGGCTTCTGCCAGCGTGTCAGCTTGCACTTGCCAGAGGCACATGCGCGCGGAAATGAATTCTCCGAGTCAGCGGCGATTGGAGCGGCGGGAGCGGGGGAATCTGGATTCAATCTGTCCCGATCGACGCTCCGTATCATGTTGTCCAAGTCAGAGCGCTGATTCAGGGAACTCTGTCTCGGGCCCCCGTTCCTGAATGTCCGAACCGAGACCCTTTAGAACTCGCTCCCCTGCCTCACCGGTTACTTTCTCCTCCTGCCACCTGCCGTTCCCCCCCTCTTCCCCCCTGACCTCCTCCTGCTCCACTCCGTCCTTTCTTTCAGAAGAGCCACCTGCAGCGGGTACGTAGGAGTGGTGTTTTGGAGACCCTTGACTGAGATAGGACAAAGTGGGAGGGCACTGGGCAAGTGACAGTCAAGGTCCGAGTGCTTTGACGACCGAATGGCACCCACGCCGTAGCCATTTGGGCCCAAGTCGCCGCCACAGCGGCTCAGCCTTGCAGCCCCGGCTGGCGGGCCGCAGCCCCGGCGGAGGCCTCGGGCGTCCTTGCATGGCCCCAGGGTTGGCTGGTGCCAGGAGGCCACGCCGACGAAAGCCGCTGGCCGACGTGCATGTCCTGCGAGAGCATCGACTCGCTGGATCGGTCTGATCGAAGTTCCCGGCAGTCGCCATGGGGGTCGAAAGCAAGCTCGACCCCTGGCACGTCGCCTCTGGCAAGGACGGGCGAGATCCGCTCGGAGAGCCACCGCTCGCGTTCCAGCCGCAACAGCCTCCCCTTCGGCTGCTTCTCGGACTACTCCATGGTGGACTCGGACGGTTCGCCGCGGATGCTCGCCTCCATGGGCCAGTCGCCCCTGGGCGGCTCTTCCGCGCCCTCGTTCTTCCCCGACGCCCGGCGGCGGTCATCGGGCTCGTCGCCCATGGGCGGCTCCTCCGCGCCCTCGTTCTTCCCCGACGCCCGGCGGCGGTCCCCAGGAACGTCCCCCATGGGCGGCTCCTCCGCGCCCTCGTTCTTCCCCGACGCCCGGCGGCGGTCCCCAGGCTCGTCGCCCATGGGCGGCTTCTCCGCGCCTTCGTTCTTCCCCGACGCCCGGCGGCGGTCCCCAGGCTCGTCGCCCATGGGCGGCTCCTCCGCGCCCTCGTTCTTCCCCGACGCCCGGCGGCGGTCCCCGGCCACGTCGCCCATGGGCGGCTCCTCCAGCTCCTCCGCGCCCTCGTTCTTCCCCGACGCCCGGCGGCGGTCCCCGGGCTCGTCGCCCATGGGCAGCTCCTCCGCGCCCTCGTTCTTCCCAGGGGCGCGGCGGCGATCTGGCGGCGGCTCCAAGAGTCCCACCGCGGGCTCGGGGACGCCTGCAGCGGGCTTCTCCCTGGAGGCCCACGACGACGCGTTTTTTCGCAGCCTGCCGCCAGAGCTGGTGAGGGAGGTCCTCTCCCAGCCCGACGGCGAGGACGAGAGCGAGGCCACGAGGCACGGCGGCTCGAAGAGCAGCTGGGCCACCCCAGACAGCCGGAACAGCCAGATCGGGGCGAGCTACGACGTGACCAAGTTTGTCAGCATGGCCACAAGCCAGGGCGACTCTCGCCACAATATTGGCAGGGACGTCAGCCGGGCACACATGCAGGAGTTCGAGCTCTGCCGTCGCGAGGCGTGCGCCTGGTTGCGCAGGGGCGAAGTGCTCGTGAAGCACCCTTTGAGACGAACTGACGGAGGTCGCTTCAGCACGCTAAAGGAGATGCGCCGGAAGCCCCACGTGCTCCTGTCCAGGCGGAAGAAGTATACTTTCGTGGTTTTGGACAGGCACAAGACCACGAGCGGCCACCCCGAGCTGAGGTGGGACCGGGACCTGCGGCGAGCGGTGTCGAATCAGGCGAAAGGATGCTTGGTGCTCTCCGAAGTTCACTATGCGGCGGCTACTGTGCTGCACGATGAAGCGGAGGTCTCGGAGAAGTTGCTGAACGAGTTTCAGATAGTCGGCTCCAACTACTCGATGAAGATCGTGGCGCCGTCGCGGGAGTCCATGAAGTTGTGGGTCGTTGGGTTGCTGCAGTTCTCGCAGATCGCGAGGAAGAGGAATTTGAAGTTCAAGCGGACAACTGTGGACGACGTGCTGTGGAACTCAATCGTCCGCGAATTTCAAAGATTAGACAAGGACGGATCTGGGGACATCTCGACTGCGGAGCTCGCAGATCTGATCCCGTCAGCTGGCGGCAACTCGAGCGCAGTCAGCGAGATGTTGTCCGAGTTTGACGTAGACGGCAACGGCACCCTCCAGCTGCAAGAGTTCGCACGGCTCTTCCAAGCTTTGTCGGTGAAGGACGTGCTGGCCCCTTGGTTCCTTAAGTATGCGTGCCCTGTGACGACGGACCTCGGCTTGCAGACCAAGGGCATCAGCGAGGCCTCCTTCTTGGAGTTCCTGGAGCGCGAGCAGCGCGAGACTGGCGCCGCAGGCTCGGTATTTGCGGACCTGCAGTCCCCGCACGTCGTGTCCGTGGGAGGAAGGCTCCACCTGACCGAGCTGGGCCTCTCGTATTTGCTCTGCTCCTCGAAGAATCCGGCCTTCGACCCCGCCCGCGTGCAGAAGGTGCACCAGGACATGACCCGGCCGATCTCGCACTACTGGGTATCGTCTTCGCACAACACGTATTTGGAGAGGGACCAACTCTTCGGCAAAAGCGCCCTGGAGCAGTACCAGGACGTGTTGCTTAGAGGTTGTCGCTGCGTGGAGATCGACTGCTGGGATGGCGACGACGGCGAGCCTATCGTGACGCACGGATACACTGCCACCTCACGCCTGATGTTCCAGGACGTCGTGCGCGTGTGCAGGGACTACGGCTTCGTGGCGTCCCCGTACCCCCTGATTCTCAGCCTGGAGGTGCACTGCGGGCCGAAGCAGTTGGCGCGCATGGGGCGCATCCTGAACGAGATCCTGGGCGACAGGTTGTTGAGACTGCCCGAGGGCGGCTTGTCCACTGCCGAGCTGGTCTCGCCCGCCGCTGCGATGCGAAGGGTGATCGTCAAGGGCAAGGTGCCACACGAGCTCATCCTGGCAAACAGCGAGCTTGCAGAGGCGACCTCGGTGACCGCGGCCTCCTCGTTCAGCTCCGCCGGCAGCACCTTGGCCAGGGGCAGGAGCCAGGGCAGCATCATCAGCAACAGCAGCCAGCTGGAGCCATACTCCTGCGACAGCTCGCCCTCGACACCCTCGAGACGACGGCGCGTGCTCGGACCGCTGAAGCAGTGCCTCTATATGTTGTCTCGGATGCATGGGAGACCGACGAATCATTTCCACCATGATTTCCAATTGCCCGTCGAGTGCGACGAGGCAACCGAGCCGACTTCCCCGGGCGAGCGGCGGCGAGTCAATTTTGGGGCTACGGAGGAGGCGCCAGCTGCCGAGGCGCTCCGACCCCCGGCGCTCAACCCAGACGACTCGCCGCAGGAGAGTCCTCGGGAAAGCTCGCCGCCGAGCCCCTCGTGGCACGGCGAGGCGTCGCAGGGCGAGTCCTCGCTCGACGTGTACAGCGCGCAGGAGCGCCCCTCGCACGGCTCTGGCAGCAATTCGCTGGCGGCGACGCGGGCGGCGAGGCCTGCCGGCTCTGCGAGGAATCTGCTGCGCCGCCTGGCGCGCGGCAAGGACGGCGTGGCCGCCTTCGACGTCGAGGGCGTCCAGGAGTACGCTCGGACGCTGTACCTGGTGGCGCGGAAGCCGCCGCGCGGCGGGCTGTGGCCCTCGCCGGCGGAGGGCGAGACGCGCAGCGATCACGAGCTGGCCCTGTTCCCCTGCAACATCATGTCCTTCAACGAGAAGAAGGCGGAGAAGCTGCTGGGGGCGAACCTGAACCGCTCGCGTGAGCACCACCGGAACAACCTGTCGCGGGTCTACCCGATGGCCACCCGCACCAGCAGCTCCAATCCCGACCCCGTGCCCTTCTGGCTTGCGGGCGTGCAGATGGTCGCCCTCAATTACCAGAGCATGGACCTGCCCGTGTTGATCAACGAGGGGCTGTTCAGGAACGAGAACGGCGGTGCGGGCTACATCCTGAAGCCCGACCTGCCGCCCCCGCCCCTTCAAAAGGGCGGCTGCGTGCTGGACGTGGAGGTGCTCTGCGGCCAGTACCTGCCCAAGCCGGGGGCAGACAGAGGCGGGGACAAAGGCAACAGGACCACCAATCCCATGGTCCGAGTCAGCATTTCCGGCCTCGACGAAGACCGGAAGACGTGTGTGACCACGCAGGTGTTGGAGAATGGCTTCAACCCGCGGTGGGAGGAGACCGTCTCCTTCGAGCTGCTGCATCCGACGCTTTCTATACTCATTTTCGAGGTCGTGCACACTCGGAACCCGGCGGCCCACTCGCCGTCGCTGTTCGGCTGCCTCGGCGGGAGGAGGTTCATTCGGCGGCGTAAGCCGCGCTCCTGGCAGAACGTTTTAGTGGGGGCTGGAAGAAGGTGCCGGTCGTGGAGCAGGCGGTTGCAGAGGCAGCAGGGCTGGACCTGAACGCTGTTCTGCTGGACTTCGGCCGTGTTTTGTTTCTCGTTTTGGAAGGGAAGTGCAGGAAGACATGTGGAGCAAAACGGAACCCAAAACGAAAACAACACGAAAAGCAAAGCTTTAAGTTTAAGTCAGGCCCGTCTCTCTACAGGGGGAATGTTCCCAAATAGTCAAAACATAGTCTGGGACGATTGTTCGATATTCTTCGTGTATCTATTGAACATTTTTGGGGTATATTTTGTTTGTCGGCCAAAATCCCCCTGTATGGGGGGGCACGTCCGACCGAAGTTGAGGCCCAGCCCCGAGAGGCCAGACCGCAGCGCCAGCGCCGCCGCGGCGCGCGGCCGCAGGAAGGCCGAGGAGGTGGTGGCCGCGGCGGCTGTGCCCGTGGCCGGCCTCCGCGAGGGGCTGCGCTGGGTGCAGCTGCTGGACACCAGGCTTCGAGCAGCGGCGACGCGTCCTGGAGGAGGAGGGGGAGGAGGAGGAGGAGGAGGGGAGGAGGAGGAGGAGGAGGAGGAGAGAGGAGGAGGAGGAGGAGGGAGGAGGAGGAGGAGGAGGAGGAGGAGGAGGAGGAGGAGGGGGGGGAGGAGGAGGAGGAGGAGGAGGAGGAGGAGGAGGAGGAGGAGGAGGAGGAGGAGGAGAGGAGGAGGAGGAGGAGGAGGAGGAGGAGGAGGAGGAGGAGGAGGAGGAGGAGAGGAGGAGGAGGAGGAGGAGGAGGAGGAGGAGGAGGAGGAGGAGGAGGAGGAGGGGAGAGGAGAGGAGGAGGAGGAGGAGGAGGGGAGGAGGAGGAGGAGGAGGAGGAGGAGGAGGAGGAGGAGGAGGAGGAGGAGGGGAGGAGGAGGGAGGAGAGGAGGAGGAGGAGGAGGAGGAGGAGGAGGAGGAGGAGGAGGAGGAGGGGGGGGAGGAGGGGGAGGAGGAGGAGGAGGAGGCGGAGGAGGAGGAGGAGGAGGAGGAGGAGAGGAGGAGGAGGAGGAGGAGGAGGAGGAGGAGGCGGAGGAGGAGGAGGAGGATCTCTTGTGGTCTGCGCGACATGCTCTCATAACATTTCTGGCTGAGACTGCCTCGTGTTAATCTGGAGGTCGGAAAGGGTTGTGGCATAGAGGGGTTTGGTGCAAATCGTGGAAATTGCGATGCCATCTGCGATGAATAGCATCGCCAGAGTCCCCTTTGCATGAAATGAGCACCACACCCCCTTATATCATACCCTACTCCTACCTCCAGAGTTAACACATCGGGCTTATGTTCTAAGAGCATGGTTCCCCAATCGGTGCTTGCACTGTGGGGGCCCTAGCGGAAAGTGAAAGATTTGGCGAAAGTTTCCTGCCGATTTTGGTGGCCGGTTGGGTTCCCTGGTTCCCGGTTCCGGGTTCCCGGGTTCTTAGTCATTGGTTCCGGGCCGATTTCGGTGGGTTCTGGGTTCCTGGTCGATCTCTTTGTCGATCTCTTCATCGGTCCCATTTCAAACCATCCACTGATTGGAGTTGCTCTTTGGTGTCATAGTTCTAAGAGCATTTTGGGGTTCTAAGAACATGTCGTGGTAGGCTGGCAGGAATGCCGGGACGGCCGCCCCTGCTCAACAGGTTTCATCCCATTGAGCGCTCGGGGCTGCTACTGGACATCAGGCTCAGCGGCGCCTGGGCATCGGAACGCCGCTCCGTTTCTGCAACTGCGGCGGCCAAGACATCTAGGGGAACGAAGAATGACATACATTGTTTCACCGACCTCCATCCACATCTTCATCCCCTTCGAGACCCCCACCAAATTACCACCCCAGTTTGGGATACACCCCTCGAAACCCAAAGGGAACGGCCTATATCCCCATCTAGGGGGGTAAATCGGCCAGTGGGGCCCAGCCCACGCTGGTGGGGATGGGGTCGGATAAACGATGCTCAGAATGACGTAAACGTAAAAACTCAGACCTCTGAGTTTGTATGTTTACGTCGTTCTTCGTTCCCCTAACATCATCAATAGCAGTCCCCACTGGGGCGCCCCCTGCTGCGTCGCCATCGGCGCCGCAGCGGCGCTGCATCTCCTTGTGCGAGTCTCCTCTTCCGCAGGAGGAGAGGATCGTCACCCACACCGTGTCGCTCGCGAGGGAGATGATCATCGCCGTCTGACCGCGCGCCGACGAAATTTGCACCCTTCCGTTCGTGACCCCGTTCGTTGCCCCCGCCCCTTCCCGCCACCCTGTTCCCCTCCCTCCCTGCCTCTCCCGCGACCCATAGCCCTCGCCGAGCAGACTCCCCAGGGCGCCATCACTGCCCAGCCTCGCAGAACCACTACCAGACCTGGACGGCAGCTTTTTTTCGGGGCCTCGTGTGTGCTCCAGGTGGTGCCGCACCAGGCGAGCGATCCGTCAGCTCAACTACTGCTGACGCCCTGTAGGGAGACTCCCGTCCGAGCCACACAGTGGCGAGGAGGAGGAGATGGAGGAGGGAGGAGGGAGGAGGAGGAGGAGCAGGTGGTAGGGATGGAATCGGTGTTACCCGTATGTTTGATGTGTGCTCTTGTGTGGATAGCCAATAGGCGCTATGTCGAGCCAGAGCCTGGCGTTGCAGCCCATTATATTTGAGGAGGCAAAGCTTCTCACTTCTCACTTTTTGCACTTGTGCCACTCTCCTGTTTCACTCAAATGTCATGCTCTCTTGAGATCCATATGTCATGCTAGGCTGACGCGTGGAAGGAGTGGTCTCGCCTGAGTTGTCACGGCGCCTTGTTAAAAATTGGACGAATGGTACCCGCACGATCCTGAATATGTGGTTGCTGATGCCGGTGTTGTTGCTGGTGTTATAAAGTTGCTGTTACTGTGATTTCAATTGTCGTGGTTGGGTTCTCGTTCTATCGTGCCACTTCTCCACATCGTCACCCTTCTATGTTGTTGATTCCCCAATCAGAGCTTGCCTCTGTAGCGGTCCTAGCGAATTCATATGGTTAGGTGAGGTGTGTAACTGATTTCCGCGGCCCGCCCGAGTGCCCGGGTGCCCGGTGCCCGGGTGCCCGGGTGCCCGGGTGCCTTATAGCCCTATAGCCCTATTGCCGTATAGCCCGATAGCCGTATGACCTGATGGCCTTATAGCCCCATAGCCCAATGGTCCTACAGCCCCATAGTCCAATATATTATAGCCTTATAGCCCTATAGCCCTATAGCCTCACAGCCTTTTAGCCCTACAGCCCTGGAGCCCTATAGCTCTGTAGCCCGTTAGCCCTATAGCCAAACAGCCTATAGCCCCATAGCCCTATAGCCATATAGCCCAATAGATCTATAGCCCTATAGCCCTATAGCCTTATAGCCTTATAGCCCTAAAACCCCATGTCCCCATAGCCCTATATCCCTGTAGCCCTATAGCCCTATGGTCCTATAGCCCTATAGCCCCATAAACCTATAGGTTCATAGCCCTATAGCACTATAGCCCCACAGCCCCAGAGCCCCAGAGCCCTACAACCTTATAGCCCTATGGCCCTATAGCCCCATAGCCCTGTAGACCTATAAACCTATAGCCCTATGGCCCTATAGCCCTATAGCCCCATAGCCCTATTGCACAGACTTTGATTGGGTTGTTCTCCGGTATCAAGTGTTATTTCGCCGTCGCTCTATATTGGCCCTGTTCGTTTGATGTTTTGTCGCTGTTATGGCTATTATTCTTTATTTTTCTGGGAGGCCAAAGCAGGTATTACCTCTAATAGTAGATCGTGCGCAGAGGCGGAATGTCTGGAGGAAGAGGAGAAGGAGCAGCAGCTGAAGGAGAAGGGAAGAGCCGGAGACGGATAAGGTCTCTTGAAGATCCCTACGTTTCAGGCTTCGGGTTCGGAGACGGAAGTGCGAAGCGATGCTTGACATGGTCATGCAACTGCAGGCGATGATAAAAGCTGACAAATCGTGCCCCCCCGAGGCGGACGAAAGCGAACAAGAAGGGCAAAGCGGGAGGAGGGAGGAGGAGGAAAGGAGGAGAGGGGGAGGCGGAGGAGGCGGAGGCGGAGGAGGAGGAGGTGGGGCAGGCGCGTGGTATACCGAAGCCGCGCGCTGCGGCCCACCGCCGAGAGAGCGCCAGCGCCCCCGTCCAGCCCAAGAGGTGGCCGGCGATCGCGGCGGTGGCGGCGGTCTGCGTGCTGGCCGGCGGCGGCGGGATCGTCGCGCTGAAGAGCGGGGGGTCGCTTCATGCCTCGCCCTGCAGCCCTGCGCCCCTGCGCCGGCGCGCCTCGTTCTCTCTCTCTCTATCGCTTCTTCTCGCTGCTTCTCTCGCCCCCTCTCTGTCCCTCCTCCTCTTCCTCCTCCTCCTCCTCCTCCTGGTCGGCGTTGGAGGCTCAGGCACATGGAGCCCCGACGGAGGGACGATTATACTGAAACTCGCTCACACGACTACCGCCCCATACTTTCACGGGCCAGAGAGGGAGCATTGGGCATGAAGGACGGATGGCAGTAGCATTGTTCTCGATGTGTGCATTGATGAAGCTGGTATTCTACAATCCGCTGGCGGCGATTAATTACCCCAAACAGACTGAACGAGATTAGCAGTGCACTTCGGGAATGGGATGTGATTGTGCTGACACGGGCGCATCAGTGGTCAGGGCCAGAACCGATGAAGAAAACAAATCATCAATACCATGAGGCATTGCGGTATGGGGCAAAGAAAAGGAAATGGGTTACTAAGGCATGCTGTGCGACGTTCGTGGTGTCCACGAGATGATGCTCAAGCAATTGGGGCTCAAGCTTTCTTTGAGCCTGCCTCTGTGCCGTCCCGTGGTGCTTGAGGTCACGTCTCCCGAGGGAGACCGCCAAACCAGAGGCAATCACAACCAGTTTCTTTCTCTCGCCATGGCTCCGCCGCGTCGCAAGGGCGGCGACTGGGCGGGCTGGTTCGATCATCGTAGCGATGCTGGTTCTCCTTGGAAGTGTGGGCGCTGCGGATGCGCCAAGAACTTGGGGAGATTCTGGTATTGCAAGCAGTGTGGTGGCAAGAAGAAAGAGTGCGACGCCACGATCCCTTCTGGTGATGCTGGAGATCAGTGGACCGCCTGGGAGCGTCCGCAAGGTGGAAGAGCTGGAGACCCTGCGCCCGTCGGGCTTCAAGGGCGCGGCCCTCCACCAGCGCCCATCATCGGGAACCAGGACGCTCTATCGGACGGCGAGATCCAGCAACTCATCGAGCTCAACAAGAAGATGGGCAATCAGTCGGTGGCTACGGCTTACCAAATGCGCCTCGACCAACGTCGGTCTGCTGGGGAGCCGATCCCTCTCCAGACGCAGGTGTCCACAGTCGACCGCCACATCAAGCAGCTCGAGAAAAAAGCTCAACGCCGACATTGTGCAGTATGAGCGGTGGAAGATATGGCTCGACGACAAAAAAGAATCAATTGCCAAGGTCAGGATCGAGCTTCGTGATGAGATCTCCAAGTACAAAGGCTTGGTGGAGCAGCTCTCCAGCCAAGTATGTGCGCCAGCTCCGACCCAGCAGAAGACCCAGGTCACGCTGCAGGAGCTGCTCAGCGGCAACGGAGAGTTCCTCGATCTCTCCAGCGTCGAGAGTGCTTTCGGGGTCGACGCTGACGTCTATGATATTCAAGACGCAGATCGAGAGGAGCTTGCAGCCAGGTCGCAGCAGCTACGCGAACAGATCGCCAACGCCGCTAAGGACTTCTTCGGCCAGGCTTCCCAGAAGTTCGAGGAGCTCAAGAGCGCGCACAAGGCCCATGTCCTCCGCCTCGGCAAGAAGCGCAATAATAACGAAGGTGAAGCTACGAGCGGTGCCGCCGAGTCAAGAGGAGGCGGTGCTGCAGGATCTAATGATGGAGCTGGTGGAGGTGCACCTGAGGGCTCGGCTGCGAAGGAGAGCGGCAACGTTGGACAGGGGTCTTCGGCCTCGTCGGCCACGTCGCTCTTGGAGACAGCAGACAAGCTCTTGGGTCCACTACCTCAGCAGGCAGCCCCCCCTGTCGTCGCCTAGGCGGCAGGGGGGTCGTCATCTTCATGGAATACCCGATTTGCCAAGTGGTCCATCGGCCACATCCTCCTCCCCACCGGCGCCCGATTCGTATCTCGGAATTACATCGTCAGTAATTTCGTCGGCGAGGTCTCCCTCGTCGGCAACATCGGCTGAGCAGACTTCGAGCAGTTCTGACAGCCTCTCTCTCCCGTCAGCCAGCAAGCTGACCAGTAAATTTTTCAGGCTTCCTTCTGATGGAGCCCTTCCATCCGACCCTTCCAAGTTTTTATCTGTGCCCCCCTGCCCTGCCTGCGCGTTTCAGTTAGCGGTCGAGACGATCAATTGTACGGCGTGGTCATCGATTGAGTCCTGGGTCGAATCCTCGACTTCGCACGTACCCCTGGTTCAGGAACATCGTTTGGTCAGCGTTGACGACGTCGCGAAGGCAGGACAGTGGGCACTGAAGAGGGGATGGAAATCTAGATTTGCTCCAGCGTTACGTACCAGTGAGGGGGGTTCCTCTGGAGGGGTGGCGGTTTTGGTACGACAGTATCTTGGATTTCACGATCCTGATTTTGAGGCTGTCGTCGTTCCCCACAGAGCCCTGAGTGGTATTGTTTCGGTCCCTGGAGCTCCGCAAACATTGTTCACGGCCCTATATCTCTACGACAGTGAGGACCTCTCTGACAGGAACCTCGCAATCTTATCAGCAGTTGGATCCAGGCACAGCGAGTTTGCTGGCCCACATTGCATTGGAGGAGATTTCAACATGACGCCTGAGGTAGTGGCCGACTCGGCAGTGCCAGGCTGGTTGAAGTCTAACGTCATTTTCACTAAGGATGGGATTTGTACTAGCACTGGAGGAGTTCGTACGTTAGACTTCTTCATCTTGTCTGCAGGCCTCAGCCGCTGCTTGCAGTCTGTCGAGACGGTGCTCGGCACCGACATCAAGACGCACACCCCCGCTCGCATCCTTTTCCACCCGCAGTTGGCTGAGCTCAAGGCCCTCCAGTTCCTGAAGCCCCCGAAGCTTCCAGCAGAGAGACCAGTTGGCCCTCAGCCCCACCCTCCTGACCTCTCGGAGATCTTGGACTGCGCCAATCACGGCATAGATCTTGTCGCTCGGAAGGCCCCCAGAGGCCAAGTGCAGCGGCACCTCGACACGCTGTATCGCCTATGGGCGGATACTGCCGAGTGGGAAGTGTCCCAGGTCCTCCAGACGGACCTGCCTATTTGGGGTACTAGGGGCAGGCGGCCTCGGCTGGCCTGGGTCTCGGCGCTCGACAGGGACTCCAAGGCCTCCTACAAGGACCCCATGCTGTTCGCAGGGAGATGGCTATCCCGATCCATTCGGTTTCTCTTGGGCGCCATGTCCGACGGCGACGTTTTGACGTTCAACAAATACCAACATCATATCCTGGAGGCGCCCCAAGATATTTTCAGTGCTTTGGGAGACCTCCTGGAGTTATATCGGGAATGTTGTGTCCTGGTCTTGGGGCTTGAGGGGGTTCGTGCTGATTCAGGAGGTCTTCTTGAATTTCAAGCTCGTCTGGAACCCAGATTAGATGAGTATGCTAGGGCTTCCTCGCAGCGATCTTTGAAGGCGTGGCGTAGCTGGCTACTAGACGGCATCGACAAGGGTGGTCGTAATGCCCATCGTTGGACCAAGGAGTTGAAGCCGTGGGTCGCGACTACCACGCTCTCGGCCGAGGGGCTCGTCCTCTCGGACCTTCTTTCGCCCCTCCAGGCGGAGGGGGCTAGGTTTGGCGAACTTTGGAACTCGAAGTCCCACCCTCCTGTGGCCTCCAAGGAGCCCGTCGAGTACTTGGAAGGCCTAAGCCCCTACACGCCAGAGGATCTGTTCACTGTGAGTAAGTCCTACGCGACAGGTACTGCCACAAGTGTGGATGGCTTCCACATGCGTCATTTTTCGATGTTGCAACCAGGCCTCCTGTCTGTTCTGTGCACGCTCTACTACATGATGGAGTGTACTGGGCTCATGGCCCACCAGACACAGGTATTGATCACTCTCCTCCTCGCCAAGCCAGCAGGAGGTTATCGGCCGATCGGCCTCTTTTCAGCGTATTATCGTTGTGGGCGAGAGTTCGCCGCCCATACGCCGAGCGATGGGAAGCCGAACATCAGCGGACATACTTAGCTGCTGGTTCCTTCAACTCTGCCCTCGACGTAGTATACAGGCAAGCAGTCAAAAACGAACACTCGGTGGGGAACGCAAAGGCGGTTGCTAAGATCCTTTGGGACCTCTACAAGTTCTATGAATCGATTCGGCTTCCTAAGCTCGCGGCGCGCTGTGAGGCCCAGAGTTTCCCCAAGCAGATTTACAGGGTCTCGATGAAGGCCTACGGAGGTGCTCGGTTTATTTCTCTCGGGGGCCTTTTGCATGGCCCGCATTTCAGTGAGCATGGAATTGTTGCAGGATGCAGTTTCGCTACTACGTACATTAGAGCATACGTTATCCCCACGATGGACCTCCTGAGGCTCCCCTACCAGGTTCAGCTCGACATCTACATAGACGACTACGGTATTTCTAGCAGTGGGTCTGGGAAGTCTGTAGTGTCTTCGTTGAAGTTGGCCTCTACCGAGTTGCTCATTGCCCTCGAAAGGGACATGGAGTCGCGTATCTCTGACGAGAGGGCAGCAGTTGTATCATCGGTCAAGTGGGTCGGCCAAGCAGTCAAGTCTTTCTTGGGGAGGTACGGGGGACCTTCCGCTGATTGCCACACTGCTATCAACCTTGGGATTGACGACGGCGCTGGTCAGGCGCGTCGTGCCAGAGGTCGCGGTCGCAAAGCTGCTGCTCGCTTTCGTGTTTTTCGTCAGAGAGTCAAGAGGGCTTTCAAATGTCGGCAGGCACTTGGACGTCACTCTCGTAAAATATTCGCGTCTGGGCCTGTATCATCGGTTACGTATGGGGCGGCAATCTCTGGGACGTCTGATCATGGAATGGGGCTCTTGAGGACTGGTTTCGGAAAGGCTGTCAAACCATCGGCTCGTTCGAGGTCCCTTACGGCCCTGTGTATTCTCGAGCACGACCCTTTGTACCATGCTTCCATCGCACCTATCGCTCGGTACTCCAAGGAGATTTGGGACGCCCAGGTTCAGCAGACTCCTTTCGCCCTAGGATTTCGCGAGCTTCGTGCAGCTTGGGAACTTGTCTGGGCTAGCCCACCTACCTCGTGGCGCAGGGTACGCGGCCCCATGGGCGC